GAGCCTCTCTTTTGAAAGTTTGCCTTGACGGTTTGTGAGCGAATGCTTCAGGCAAGGAAATAATGCAAGGTGCTTTTGAAGTTTGGCAAGACACCCAGCCAAAGGGGTTGCAAAGTCCGCTTTGCCTGCTACTTACGGAGAAGGTGGAAGTAAAATAATACTAATAATTCTGGTTCACTTCCATTGTTAAAAGCAGAGAAGCTGGTTTTTCCTTTCTACAATCAGAGCCTTCGAACTGTGCTTTGGTTGCTAAATGAAAAACTCAAGCCAAAACTGGTGTGTGCTTTACCTGACAAAGAAAACAGTTGCATAAAACATGAAGGGAGGTGGTTGTTGTGGTTAAAGGTACCTGCCCAGGTTGACCTGGCACAATGTGGAATCCTATTTCTTATTACCTTATGGGCTTCTCTGATGTCACCTCCTCTTCTGCTGCTTCCTGACTCTCAAGATTAGAAAGAACCTCCATGCAACGAATATTTGAGGCACTCAGATGTCCACAGAAAGTATTGATTGCTTTCAAGATTAAGAAGGACCCTTTCCACAACAATTCAATGGTTGATTTTTTTTTCTTATTTTAAATACAAGTAATACAAACATAGTACATATACATCTAAATACAAAAAAAGGAGAAAAAAATACAAATAGAAAGACATTACAGAGGGCGGTGAGCACAGCACAAAACATTGTGGGCTGTTCCCAGACACCACTAGATGACCTCGTTAGGGCTCGCTGCCTTAGAAGAGTGAGGAAAATCCTCAGGTACAACTCACATCCCAGTCAGCACTTCTTCACTCTCCTACCATCAAGTAGGAGACAGAGAAGCATAGCCAGCCGCATCAACAGGCTGAAGAACAGTTTTTACTTATGGGCTGCCAGACTTCTGAATGGAAAATAACTTCATGTCAACATAGTTTGATAGACTTGTGGGGATGGTGCGTTGTGCAATAAGGTCACATGGTGTAATAAGATTGAGACTGGGTTAGGGACTTCTGTCCTCACTGTGAGTTGTGTGTGGGGGTGGGGGTGGTAGGGGTGCACGAAGGGAGGCTCAGCCAATCTCATTGTACACATGTTGTACTCTGACAATAAAGGTAATAATAATATTACAGTGCAACCCCACCCCTAGAGAACATTTTCCTCTCCTTATATTGTTCTTCTGTAACAATTTAAAGATATACAGTATATTCCAATTGTGCCCTAATCCAGTGGTGGTATTCATTTTTTTTTTTACTACTAGTTCTGTGGGCGTGACTTGGTGGGTATGGTGTGGCTTAGTGGCCATGGCTTGGTGAGTATGGCAGGGGAAGGATACTGCACAATCCCCATTCCCTCCCCACCCCACTAACCTGCTTTCCAGTTCTGTTCTCCTGTGCAGGGCAACAAAAGAAGACCCAGCCGATCAGCTGGGACTCGGGAGGCAGAGAAGAGATGGAGATGGGGCCAGTCAGAGGTGGGATTTGCCAGTTCTCCGAACTACTCAACATTCCTGCTACCAGTTCTCCAGAACTGGTCAGAACCTGCTGAATACCACCTCTTCCTGTGTTGCCATTTCAACGTGTTCCTTAAATTTAAAACACGTCTTGAGCTAAGGTTCTCTGGATGTGAATAAGCTGATGAATAACACCACACAGAGCCATATGGTTGCCTCTTCTTATTTAGAGATAAATATCTAAACCTCAAAGTTTTGAGCGGTCACCTTTTGGTCTTAAGGTGAAAATATTAAGGTGAATATTATAAAAATTCAACTCAGGGAAAAACCACAAGGAAGGAATTAATGCCATGATAAACAACAATGGCTTATGAACTTGATTCAGGGGAGTGAGTTTAGGGATCTCTTCCATAAACCTTTAGACACTTCTATCTGTCTCTTTTTCCCTCCCAGTCATTATTAGTCATGTATGGGACAGGCTAAGAAAAGGAACAAAAGCTGGTGACTCCCAACCTATAAAAGATTATCCAGTTGCTTGGAAACTGGGTGAATGCTTAATTGCAAATGCATGTTTGTCATTACATTATTTTAATGTCTTCAGATCTCCTCCTTTATATGTTCTTTGGATGGAAGAACCAGAAAGTTCAGAAAACTAGAGTAAAGTAGAGAATAAGAGGAGTCGAGATGAGACGAGAGGAGAAAAGACAGGAGAAGAGACTAATGGAATGAAGAATAGAATTAGAATTAGAACAGAACAGAATAAAATAGAAGAAATGAAGAATAGAATAGAACAGAACAGAACAGAACAACAGAATCGAATAGAAGAGAAGGAAAGGACCATAGAGGTCTTCTAGTCCAGCCCCATGCTCAAGCAGGAGACCCTACACCATTTCAAATAAATGGTTGTCACGTCTCTTTTTGAAAGCCTCCAGTGATGGAGCATCCACAACTTCTGAAGGCAAACTGTTCCATTGGTTAATTGCTCTCACCATTAGGAAATTGCTCCTTAGTTCTAGGTTGCTTCTCTCCTTGGTTAGTTTCCATCCATTGGTTCTTGTCTTGGCCTTCTGGTGCTTTGAAAAATAGTTTGACCTCCTGGTCTTTGTAGGAACTTCTTCCAGCAAGAGGCGAAAGACCAGATATTTGTTTACTCAACAGTATTTTCCTTGACAATAAACCTCACCAAAGGACTTGGCTTCTTTATGAGTATGAGTGCAAATTTTGATTCTGGAATAGTGCAACCAATGTTAATATATTGTCTTCTTTCCCTTCTTATTGTAGGATTGGAAACTGTGTGGGATTTATTTGCACCCCTGCTGTTGGTGGATGACATCTTACTCTGTGTAGGAGAAGGATTTTGTCTGGCTTCTTAATATGACCCCATGGAATCATGCCTCTTTGGGATTCTGATGGCAAAATAACCCACCCATGAAATTGCCATTATGTCATTCAGGGAGGCTGATCCAGATATCGGAACCTTTTTAATTGGAATCAACCTGGGACAGTACCTTTTAAACTTCAGGGACTTTGGCTACCACACTTTGCAAGAGTGCGTGGGAATAAATGAAAGTGTTCTTCAACACATTGGAATATCACCTACGGGCCACCGTAGACGAATCCTCAAACACTTGGAGGCCATGTTTACCAAAATGCCAGAAACTTCTACATCCAGTCAAAGCTGCTCTCCCAAGCATCTCCTCGATCCCAAACAGAAGGAAGCAGGTGGCGGGCCATCTGATGGACACACCAATGAAGCTTGCGTCAGCAACCTTGAAAGAAATCCCCACAATACAACTCACATCTTGTTGGGAAACAGAGCTAGTCCAATTTTGGATGTGGACTCTTTGGACATGTTTGGTCCAAATCTCTTGTCAGATCCCACCACGGTGCCACCAAACTCACTGAAAAACACGATGTCAGAGAAGAAACCTTTCATGGATGATGATTACCTGAAGAAAGGAGACCCAGAAAGCTTGGAGGTTCAACTTAATGCCGCTCCCAAAGATGGATTTCTGTCTTCTGCTTGCTCTCCTGCTGAAAAGAAAACCAGTGAGATGGAACATCCGCTGTTATCAGGATTGGGAAGTTTGCTCGATGATCCGCAGGAGACGCCGTTCTTTGAGTTCAAAGGTGAAATGGTGGAAAATGATCTGTATTGCACCCAAAGTCCATCAAGAGTAGGTGCCAGGCCAACACGATCTTTCATGCTGCGGCACCGACCTGTTCCAGAAATTCCAGGTGTTTCCTCGGAGGCAACTTCAAACAGGTAAACTTTCCAC